TTCATTTGAAAAAAATCAAACAGGAAACAATTTGTGCAGTGTTCATTTAAATAACGGAAAGAAGTGAACCGCCTTCAGGACTGGAAACTCTTAGTTAACCCTGAAGTGACTTCATAACTGGGATGGGTGTCGCAGGGTAATTTGGGATTGTTTTACCACACAAATCAGGATGACGATATATAGTTTACATTTTGTCTAAGCCTTCTTAAACCTGCCTCAAACTGCAGTTTGTTACAAGTGTGTAAATGTGGGTGTGCCTCTGTACTTTAAGAATCCACAGGAACTAGATTTCGACATTCAGGAGCAAAAGATGTCGATAGCATCGTCACCATTCTTCTGCGGATCAGAATTCTGACCTGTTCTGCAACTTCCTGCCGGATGACTCAACTATTTACTCACTAATCCATCAACCCCACACCACACTTAACCCAGAGAGAGAGTCCGCTCACCCTATGAACATCCTCTTCAAACACCGCTTTGTGGACGCTGCACGCAAAAAGTGCAGTCGGGAGGTCACTCAGGTCCATCATTTCCTCCGCCATGCTTTCCTGGTCAGTCTCTCCAAACACCATGTCCTCCTCCTCCTCGTCCTCATCTTCCTCCGGGTCGCTGCTGTAGGCCTCTGAGCCGTTGCTCCACGCCTTGGAGCTCTCTCGAAGCATGCCGAAAACCTTTAAGGAGGCAGCGGGACTGGCAGGTTGAGGGGACCACTTACGCTGGAAACTGAAGAGAAGGAAGATTATGAGAGTGGGGGTGGTGAGGAGATAAGGTGTATATTTATAAGGTGCAATACGGACCGGATATTGTGGAAAAGTGAGCAGAGAATGATATGATCTTGAGACACTGGTGGGCGAAAGAGATAAGGTTACATTAAAGTGTTAGTAATGATGTTACACAGAGTGTCAGATAAAGGAAACGAAAAGGGAGGAGACAGAGAGACAGGAGCAAGGATTGAAGCTGGATCACCTGGTGACTTCCTTTTCAACTTTTACCTTTGATGTTTCACTCAGTCTCAGTCCAAAGTGTTCACAGAACTATATTTTAACTTATCTTGGTTCTGTAGTTATATTTAAGGTGCCCTATCATCACTGTGAGGCTAACTTTCAAAATATATTTTTGCAACCAACATTCAAATATAGGCTACAAAATGCATATTCAGCTCAAAATTACAGGTAGCTAAAACATGAATTGCTCACTTTTACATTTATTTATCTTATTATGTACAATATTACACATTCAGGTTGCCATTTGATGCATTGTACCAGAGTTAGCTTAGAGCAGGGATGGGGCAACTTTGGTCACAGCAAGGGCCACATCCATTTAACTCTCACTGCCAGGGGGCCAAATTGTAGAATAGAAAAACGAATAGAAAAAAAACAATCAATTATGTCTCAATTTTAACTCAACATATACCAGTGATCAAAGATTATTATGGACATATTTCTGGTTTTCGTGATTTCATGGCAGCTTTTGTCTTCATGTTTCCATTTAATTGATATGTAAAAATTGACCTTAGGGCCACGTTGAGGGTTGATGGGGGCCGCATGTGGCCCCCCGGGCCGCCAGTTGCCCACCCCTGGCTTAGAGCTAGGCCTATTGTAAGGACTGAAAAGGCAGAAACTATTGAACTGTGACCTTAGAAAAGAAAAGGATTATTAAGCAGAGGCAATGCCTGTTTCTAATTGAAACTAAATGGTGTTGTTTTTTTTTAGAATAGAGTGACATCTAGTGGACGATTTAAGAAACGACACTTATCATCCATATTTTTAATCTAAAGGCCAAACGAAAATAACCCTTATCTTAAATATGTGTAAATAAAACAGCCCGGATATTGATTAAAAACATAAAAGTGTATCCTAATGTAGTTTAACCTCTGAAGAATAATGTTCAAGGACAGCAGGGGAAGACAGAGACATCAATAACATCACCATGTTCCCATCACAAATGGCCGTAGAAAACACTTTGTTTTCCAGAGCTTTAATGCTGTTTTTAAGCTTCATTAATGAGATATTCCGACAGAATCAAGAAGCGACTGATGCAAACAGACGATGTTACTCGTTTCATTTTCCTTTTATTTAATTTTTCTCGGTTCTGAAGCGAAATTCTTGTCTTGTTACTTACCGCACTTCTGTCAGTGAAAGTGGTCTGGACTACTCATTTCAAACGATCAAAAACAAAAAACATGGTGACATTTGAAATAATCAGTTTTGGAAATGCTCTGATAATTTGTTGCCAGATGTCTCCGCTGCTCGGTGTTTGTGTTTTTTTTTTACTGGATTATTGGACACTGTTTTTGATGCAGCCTACTCCATCGTCAGGACCCGCAGGTGAGACCAATGAGATGCCAGCAGGGAGCTCGAAGCGACCAATCAGGCTGCAGCAGGGGGAGGGATGCTGAGCTTCATGTGTGGTGGCGACCGAGCAGTGAAGTACCACAAGGGCTCTGCTGGTGTTAAACTGGGTTTAAATGTCACAAGGACAAACAAGAGACACATCTCATCCCGGCTGTTTTACACTGTGTAACATAACCTGCTGAGTCTTATTTTCAGACAATATGTTTTCAATTCACCTGTTGCAGACATAATTCTGTGTGCCCTGGCCAAGAAGGGCAGCAGCACACTAAACATGTAACAGACATTAAACACAGAACACTTAAAGACACAGATCAGCATAGATTGAGTTACAGAGCAGAAAAAACAGTATTTGAAGTATCTACAACCTGAAGCATCGTCCTCCAACACCTTCAATCTACCTTAAAAAAGATTTAAAGAGACAGGCTCCCCAAGACACAGAGAGATCATCTGCAGGAGTTTCAAGGCTGCAGGAGCAGCGCATACCTGAAACTGCTGAAACCTGTTTCAAGACACACTTTGAGGACATTATGACATTAAAGGATTTTTTTTATAAGCAATTGTTAATTTTCAAACATCATGAGGCAACAGAGAAATAAAGAGAAGTAGGTGAAATTGATTTCTAGGTATCAAATTTAATCCAAGAAATTATGAGCAACACGACTCCACACTTATTGCAAATAATGAATTGCTACATGACTATTAAATTAATACACCTACCTGTGGGATCCCACATTTTGTCATCACCATTACTAGTTTTTCATAGTGTTGTGGTATGTAGTGGGCAATGAAGCAACCAGACACTTTACTTAGAATTAGTCATAGTTCAAATACGTTGATGTTTAAATCAGGTTTAATTCCTGCATTCAACATCTCGCTTGGTAAAGGTACAAACCAAATGACTATCAGTTAAACCTTACAGGAATAAGTGGGGTTGTTATACAGGTTAACTGTGACTGACAGTCCATTATACATTTAAATTAGTGATGGTGACACTCCAGAGCTAATGTCGTTGGTTAAGGTGAAGCTGGTTTTATTTACTTTATATCATTTGTTAAGTTACTTATTAAAATCAGAGAAATTCTGAACAAATATTTACCTGTAATAAACAATATATAAAACTGAGTACAGCCTTTAAGTAAGTACACTAACTTGTGCATTCGGCTCATCAAAGTCAAGAAGCACAAGACCCAAGATGTTTGAAAAAAGTGGCAACGAAAGAGAATTGTGATGAGACATTTTAACAAAGAGTAAATAAAAACTACTTCTATTCATAGAGGTTCCAGCTAATTTTAAGAGGTACGACACGTACACCAGCACTAATTCAAGTACACTTTATGACACAAAACTACAAATAATTTACATGTCAGACTTTAGAGACATCTGTGAATCGATTAAAAAGCTGCTCTATTAGAAGGCAGGTTAAAGGTCACATATTATCCTCCTTTTTTTAACAAGTTTAAATAAGTCTCAGAGCTCCCCAAAAACATGTGTGTGAAGTTTCTTGTTCTAAATCCACTCTGATCCTGTATTTGATCATGTCTATAAACCCCTCTATTTCAGCACTGCTCAGAACAGGCTGTTTCTGTGTCTGTACCTTTAAATGTAAATGAGCAGTGTCTGATCACGCCCCCTCTCTGGAAGGGATTGGGTGGCTCAAGCCCAATTCACACATACTCCTTGTTTATGGCTTTATTGTTGTCGATAAAGTTCTGAGGGTCCAACAGTTCAGTCAAACTGTCCTCGTTTCCTTTCAGAATCTGTCTGTTGAACAGTTTCTGGATGTCAGCGCCGCGCACTACGTTGTACTTAGCTTCCACTCTAGTCAATCATTGTGTTCACACAGGGCGCGCTGCGGTCCGTCTCCGGAGCGTGCCACCGTGCGCTCTGCTCTGTTTCAAATACGCAGCGAGTCTATTTTCGCCGGAGCACGCTGCAGGCACGCGTCAAGCTGGACAGAATATGACAGCCTGAACAGGAAGTCAGACAAGGAAACGCACAGAGCATCCGGTCAATTTCAAAATAAAACACAATATACGGACTCTCGATCATATTTTTCATCACTTTATCGACATGACGTCAAAACAGGAACTGAATTAACAACAATGCATCCTCAGAAAGACAAAGTAACATGTTGTTTGCATGTTTTTCTCTTTATTCCCGCGGGATCTTGTAGTTCTCCTGTGATGTGTCATGGGTGCGCTCCGCTGCTCTGACGTCCCAGAAACGGATCCAGTGTGACGGACCATGTGTGAATTGCGGGTCAGGCTTTCACACTCTGAGCCCTATTGTTTACGGTGAGAAGGCAGACTCAGAGGGCAGAACAAACACCTAGCTGTGGGAGAGTAACCCCCTGGGGAGGGGTTACTGCCCTTTGTGATGTCATGAAGGGAAACTCTACAAACAGCCTGTTTGAGCACACAATGGAGCAGAAAATGGAGCAGACAAAAGTCAGAGAGGATGGACTTTTCTCATGATTTGTAGACAGGCTAGGGACACACATTAGTGTAAGAAAAACATAGTAGAGTGAATTTTACATAACATGTGACCTTTAAATAAGACAGACCGAAGATAGTTTAAACAATGACAATAACGTTCAGCTCGTATGACTAACCACACACCATATGACCAAGATGAGTATGCACTGAATACTGAGAAAAGGCGTTGTGCTTTATTAACACTGCGGAAATACATTGTCTCATATGGAGCCGTGTATACATACTAATTTATACAGAAATTAAACCCCCAATGGAGTATTTAATCATAGGGTGCTTGATAGATATTTTAATTATTGCTGAATGATCACCATGTTTGATTACAGATAAGTGAAACATGTATTTAAAGAATTATTGAATTTGTCAGCAGAAACTCAAAGGCATCACATTAAAGAAGAAAAAGGTATTTCAAATCCATTAAAAAGAAACATACACTACAGACTTTAACAGCTGGATTTTCATACTTACAGTGTTAATGTTAACCATTTATGGTTAATGCCGACATGCAGAAACGGTTCACTTCATTTGTTTTTAAGTTATCAACAGTGTAATCAACTTTCCTTTTAGGGGAGCACTCACACTAGGCAATCTGTACCATGCTCGTTTGAGTCAAGCTCGGTACACTTTCTTGGCCCTGGCCTGCTTGGAAGAGGTTTGCATCGGCACGATACAGTTCATGCACAAGCACAAGCACGGGTGCACAACGTGGACAGCCTTCATTATTGAGAAATCCTGGAGTTTAATGGTTGTATCTGAATAACATGACTTAGAATAAGCGAAAAGTCAGTAAAGCAGCTGTCATATTCTCTGTGGAGTTCTCTGACTCAACTGCGCGTCCCTTTTTTTAAAATATATACTTTCAAGTCCGCCTATCTTGTAAACTAAGCACACTTCATAATACGTAAAGCCATGCATGTGTTGTATTACGACGTTATGTACAAGAGGTAACCATGCTCAGGCCCGGTTAGTCCTGGAGCAGTGTGAGTGCAGGCCAGCGGGGCAATCGTGTTTAAGAACCGTACGGGACAACTGCGCCTAGTGTGAGTGCGCCCTAAAAGGTTTCAGGTCTTTTTTAACCCAGAAGGCAGTGACAGATCACAGTTGCCTTCCAATACAGCTGAACTACTTCAGTGATGCTTCCCTCACCTCCGCAGGTTGGTATATCACAGTGATTTATCCTGTGCACAGCTTCATTTAAGGCACACGAGTATAAATAAATTAGAATAAATTAGAGTAATTGCACCCCTTGTTTGGTCACATCAGGAAAAAGCAGTAATACAAAGAAGTCCAAGAAGAAGAAAAAGAAGAAGAGGCAGGATATTGTGGAGTGAAATCTGCTCCCGTTAGACGTAATACTTTAAAAGTCAAGACGTTAATTGGCAAGTCTTCAGAAACAGCTACATTATATAACATTTATACAGTATTAACCTGAACTTTGAGGTGTAACAACAATCCAAAGTGGAAGAACGGATCCGATAATTTTCCATAACGAGCGAAATTGGAACAAAATTGCTTTAAATGCACGATCATGAGTCGTCTATCTGAAAGCTAGTAAGAGTAAAAGCAGGGCGCTTAAAGGCACAACACTGATCCCGTCTCTGCTGTCATATTTCTGAGTCCATGTGACAGAGCGTCTGAGCATCCAGTTTCTAATGTACATTTTTGTTGTTGAATGAATACAGCTGACATCTTTAAAAAGGAATGCTTTTCACGGCCGTGTATTGGTGTCAAGATTTCAGAGAAAGGAATGGGTGTGAAGAGGAGTGTAAGGCCCGGCAGAGAACATCATTAACACCCAGTGGACACCAGCTACTGGGGGCTGGAGGTTGTGTCTTGTGTACATGTGCGGAACATACCGATCTTTAGCTTTCAAAGTCCTTGAATGTTGTCGACAGTTAAATGGAATAAAAATGAAAATGTTCTTGCTTAATCTGTCTTTAGGTCAGGGTGGCCATGAGATCCATCAGGGGATCTGGATCTGACTGGTGGTTGCTCCAGTTTGACAGGCAGGGCAGCGGGGGCCACTCCGTCATTGTTGACCAGCGCTCCGTAAGAGAAGGAACCGTTGAAGTCGGGCTGAACGACCAGACCTTTGTCATGAATGACCGGCACGCCTGAAGATGAAAAAGACAGGACAGGAGTGATAAGGTTCAAGTATTTAACTAAAATGTCAGAATATCAACAGAAACAATTTAAAAGGTCACATATTGTGCTAAATACACTTCACTAAGTTTTTCTTACACTAGTATGTGTCCTTAGTCTGTCTACAAAACCAATGATGAGAAAAATCCATCCTCCACTTTGTAGAAAATGTGTGCTCAAACAGGCCGTTTGTAGATTTTCCCTTCATGACATCACAAAGGGCAGTAGCCCCTCCCCCTGGTGGGTGATACTCCCACAGCTAGGTGTTTGTTCTGCCCTCTGAGTCTGCCTTCTCACTTTAAACAATCAGGCATGTTGCAAGAAAGCCGAGCAACCCTTTCCCTTCCAGAGAGAGGGGGCGTGGTCAGACACAGCTCATTTACATTTAAAGGTACAGACACAGAAACAGCCTGTTTTGAGCAGGGCTGACATCGAGGGGTTTATAGACATGATCAAATACAGGATCAGAGTGGATTTAGAACAAGAAACTTCACAGACATGTTTTTGGGGAGCTCTGAGACTTATTTAAACTGGTTGAAGAGGAGGAGAATATGTGACCTTTAAGTATGTGTATAAAAATAAAATATACAAACCATTTGCCATATCCATAGTGACATATGGCTCAAAGGACTTGCTCTTTTTCCTGTTTTTGGTGATGAGATAAACTCCAAGGAAACAGAAAGCAGTTCTGTGCACACAACAAAAAAAAAAAAAATCAGTCTTTACACACACAAAACTTTTGCTATTTGTTCACTGCCAAATGTCTCATCTGAGTGTAAAAGTGAATGGTATTTGCTTAACAGTACAGGGCATTATAGGCCCTTTTTTTATACTTGACATGTGAACAGAATCAGCATTTGCAGAACTCTAAAACTGTGACACAGCTCAATGGATTTCAGCGTTTCATCTTTAACTTTTATTTACACCTGTGCTTCTCCCCCTGTATCAAAACTGTTTTGGTGAGAAAGGTGGATGATGGTTGTTCGCTCACCCCAACAAATACATGCAGATGTGAAGGATGTCTTCATTCTTAAACTCAAGGTAGAACACAGCTCCTGGGAACGAGAAGAGAGGACATTATTCCTGACATCCATGTTGTGACTGAAGACAAGTTGTACAACAAGCAAAGCAGCCTGCTAATAAGACTGCAGAGCTTTTCTATTGTGCCCAGCTGTTGGTTTGAATACGTCTGTCAACCCAGAGACAATTAAAACCAGCAGAAAAAAAGAATCCCATGACTCACCAGCTACCACTGCAAACACGGTGGAGAGGATGTAGTTGACGCTGGCAATCAGGCAGGAGTCATGCAGTTTGCAAGCTTGGGAAAGAAAACTAAATAAGACGTAAAAAAAAAAAAAAGTTAGAACACCACGCTAACCAAACTCGTATCTGTTATTAGGGAGGTGTTTGTGTTGTTGTTGTTGTTGTTGTCACTCACTTTGCCTGGAAGATCACTGAAGCTACCATGCACACAAACATGACACTGAAGATCGGGTAGTCCAGCTGCATGGTGCCCTCGGACGAGAGAACCAGCATGCCTGACACCGCCTTTACTGTGATGACTGTGATGGAGCCTGTCAATCAAATGAAGAACAGAAACACACAGAACGAATCAGAATATAATATGAACGAAGCCTTTTTAACATGAAAACCATGGCAGTATATTCTAATAGTAAATGTAAAAGCTTGACTTTATAGCTGGTAGGAAACTGAGCGGCTTAAAGAGCCGAGACTCACCAAGAAGAGCGACCAGCATCAGAACAACAACGACGTAGTGAGCACGGTGCTGTTTGTAGAAGTACAAGAGCAGGCAGAACATGATGATCTCCAGGAGCTGTGAATGAAGGGAAAAGCATCAACTAACACCGTGTAAATATGTCAGATATTCTATGCTGATTCACAGTGCAGATCAAGGATGAGATAATTACAGTGTGAGGTTCAGAGTAAACTTCAAAAAGAGAAAACCAGTGTGCTCACATGCAAGAAAAATGAATACAGGTGAAGGACAACATGTTTCTATAACTGCAGAAGAAAGAGAAAGGGCCGCATAATGAACAACTTTTTTTTTTAAATCAGGGAAACATTTCGATCCTCAGGTAAGGAAGATCCTTTGAATCAAAAAGTTGCCCTGCGTGGAACAGAATAACCATTATTCCACTTTTCCAAACGACACTGTCCACTGTCTGAGATACTATACTTATGTCTTTTTTACCTGTTGCCATTTTAAATACGAATGAAGTGCTTGTGACTATTTTACCAGCAATTAAGGGGCGCAGCTAATGAGCTTCTTCTTGCTTTTGTCTGTAAACAATAATAAGGTAATGTTCCCGAGCCCCGGACTACGGTTGACAATTATAATAATTAGTTTTCCACCTAAATGACTCACGTCTCGACACCCGCTATAGAGGAAGAAGATTGTGTTTTGTAGGCTTAAAAGGTGTTTAAGAACATCTTTCAGATTACTAAATCACTTTTGGTATTGTTCAAGACATGTAGTTGTATCTCATATTCTTCAACTCATTGTCAAGTGTTCAGATTGTGCAGCCACACCTGGGTTAAATGTGGAGATGCACCGACCCACTTTTTTTCAGTTCTGATCCGACTCCCATACATATGTACCGATACTGATTCTGATCATTTTTAACCCAACCTGTTGGTTTTATATGTAAGGCTACACAAAGCTGTAGTAAATATTTCTTGTTCTTGCAGTTCAGTCTGAACGTCTAAAAGGCAAAACTAAGCGAGCTGAGAATGTTTAAAGTGCCCAACGATCATTGTTGATCTGCACAAAAGGCCGATAGCCGATCTGTAAATTACGTCAATATCGGACCAAATACCGATATTGGATTAGCTCTGTCCATCTCTAGTCAAATGTTCTGAATCTAATGACTGAGTGAGGAGGGGTTGTGTATTTGTGCCTTGTTCTTTTCTTTTTTACTTCCTTTGTGAATTCAAATATCTCACCAGGTACAAGAGAACAGGCCATCCCACAAGGTGCTTCACGATGTTCTCTGCTTGAAGCTTCTCATGGGAGTTTGGTCCGAATGCAACAAACAGGTAAGTTCCTCCTGTGGTCAGGATGAGGCCCAGGAAGGAAAGCCCGTAGCGCCCTGACGAAAACATACAGCAGAATCGTTTTAAAGCAGTCAGTGAAAAGAAGAAGGACACAAGATATAATGAAAAACCACAAGAAAATGTTGTTTATTATGACAGAAATATGACTTTAGTTTTCACTTTTATGAGGTTTTAGAAAATGTTATTTTAAACCAAATGTGGACACACCTTCTGAGTGTCATTACACTGCAGCATTTGAAGAGGCAGTATGCAGTTTGTCAAGTGTGATAGGGTTGGTCAAAGATTTGAATACAAAAGGTATAAGCTCCATGTTGTTTGCATGTATGAGTCAGTGCTTCTGCAACTACATCCTCAGTCATTCCCATACGCTGGACTTACTTGCAAAGTCCCTCGGCTTCGATTTCTCACGTAGGAAAATGAGGCCCAAGATTGAGCTTGCTGGGGGGGAAACAAAAACAGACATGAAAACAGACGCTGTTAACACAAACTTTTCTTTTTTTCTGTTTTTCGTATAATGTAGAGATGATTTCAGATATCCTTTTTTTCTTATAATTTCAGTGATCTTGTTTTTACAAGCTTTCTACCAACGATTATGCCGCGTCTTGATTTCCAAACATCTGCTACAAAAACATAACGGCGCACAAAACACACACACTCACTTATAACAGAAACGGCGTTGAGCGGCGCCACAAGAGCGAGGGGAGCGAAGGCGTACGAGACAAAGTTGGCTCCCTCCCCGAGGCAGGTGAATGCAAAACCAAACCACCAGGTTTTAGTGCGGTAGAAGGCACGTGGGTCCTTGGTTCCTGCTAACGTCACATGGCTGTGTTTCTGCAAGGGAACAACACAAAGACTAAAAGTAAACACAAAGGCCACAACAGCATACATCGCTCACACAAAACAAACAAAATAAGAAGGCCTAAAACAAACACACGAGCACAATGGTTTAGCTGCAGGGACTGTTACTAACTTTAGACAGTGTCGTACATTATATGCCCAAGCCAATATGTTGGCAAGAAAATGTCATATGTGTTCTGATCATGTAAAGATATGTCTCTTAAGAGCATATTGCAGTCCCCTGTATACTGCCCTCTTATGGGGTAAGTTCAAAAAATCAAGTATGCACAGACTTCAGGTTGCTTACAATGATTGTTTTAGGATCTTACTTAAAAAGGTGGAGTAGTGCAAGTGAGCTATTTGTGAATGCAGGAGTTAAACCTTACAAGCTTTATTGAGGAACCTTATGTACAGATTTATCGGTCGCTTGAATGACTCAAAGAATGTAATTAAAATGCTGCTGTCGAACCCAAGTTATAGTGCAGTACGCTACCAGTCATACCTTTGGTCATTAGTATAAGCAAGGGCGTAACTTTGAGTTGAACATGGGGGGGGGGTTGAGATTTCCGCCTGTGAAGCAGGTCTGAGGACATGCCCCGCATGAGAAAATCTTCATATCTTAATAACTATATATACATATATATATATATATATATATATATATATATATATATATAATATTACGAACATAAACTTCATTTATTTGCTCAAGTAAATAAACATAAACACACACAGGCTGCATGAGCTACAGACATTTTTTGTCATGTTTTCCACAGGTAGCGTACCTCCTGTTGGGAAGATATTGTTATTCTTTTGCCCAACCAACAACTTAAAATTGTTGGTTGGGCTTTCTTATTCTCTCGTGCTGGCTTCATACCACGGATGCTTCATACATACACGGGGAGGGACGCACAGGTCTGAGGTGGGCAAAACAAAATCTCAGAGCGGGAAGGGGGGCGCAGACAAACGTCACTATTTTTGACTGCTAAATTGAGAAAATCTACCACATTGTCGTGTTTATAATACTTAACATTCATTATCAATAATTATGATATCATATTGGGTGGGTTGTGGCGGCTGGTTTGGATTATTCCCCCCATAAATTACGCCTACGGGTATAAGTGCCTTTTATAAGAGGTGGGGATGTTTTTATTCTAATGTAAATGTGTGTTGTCTATTTTTGTATTGTATGACTTTTAAAATGGACCTTGAGTCTAATAATAAAAGTTGACGATGATGATGATGATATAAACAGGAGGGCCAATACAGAGGGGATTAAAGAAGATAAAAACAAGATGATGAAGGCTGAACAGTTTGTCAATTTCAGTGACTATTGAAGGATATCAGCCTAGCTTTTAAGGGGTAAGACTATTAAAGGGACCCTGAAAACATGGTGACACAAAGTGCATGCTTATTAGGACATGGAAAGTGAAGGGAAAAACACAAACACGTACAATTTAAGCCCAGAATTAAGAGCTTGCGTACCTGGAACCAAGTAGAGCACATTTTAGGATGTTATTGTGGCTTTTACCTGAAGTGTTAAGGAGATGCTGACGAGCACATTCCCAAAAATAGCAAGTAAAGTCCCAATGAGATTATCCTTGAGGAAAAACAAAGAAGAGGAGATTCAGTGAGCACACATTGCATAATAATTACACAGTCTGTACTCTGGACGTGGAGACATTCATAGCTTTTGTTTTCCACTTCCTTACTCAGCTGTTAACCTATTTTACTTTAATATGTTATTATTCTTACAGTTTTGTTGTGATACGAATACTCAGACGTGAAAAGCCTCAGAGTAAATACACATACAAACATGAGGACAAAGGTTTAGAACAGGAAAAGAGAAAGTGTAAGGAGACTAAAGGAGTGTTTGTGAAGTGTCTCACCGTGTACGAGCCTCCGTCGGCTCTGCTAAAATCCATTCTGCTCGTCTTCAGGAACAATTTATCTATCATTACTAGTACCCGGATGTTCAATTATAACACATTTCATGTTCTCACTGAGCCGCTGCGTGTTTGTCTCTCATTTCTTTGTGTTTATCTCACTCTACACAGAGGGAAGATCCATCTTTGAGGACGAGGAGCATCACACTTCCGGTTTGATTCCACCTGCTTGAGGCTACGCCTTGACGCAGGACGCATGACGTAGGACGCCTGAGTCACGTCACCGTAGTTTGTTCGATAATACTGTAAGATATATTTATTGCCACCTACAACGAAATACTGTTGGAGCAGACATGTTGATGCCTAACATCAGTAAATATATATAAAATTAAAATACTAAATACAAATATACAAAATATACAAATACAATTGTATATACAAAGAAATACAGTTGAATAATATGATATAATACAGTGTACAATGAACTTAAAAGTGACAGGTGCTGAATAAATACAATATAGTTATGGATATTTGAGAGGGGGGGAGGGGGGGAGTCTAAGTCCAGGTGGTGCAGAGAGTCAGCATGTAGAGGTGCAGAGGATACATTGGTGATTAAAATAAAAAAAATAATTGGCTTTTAATTGGTTGTACAACAAGTTACGAACCCGCAAATTAAATATCTTAATAACAGCCTACATCAATCAAAAGTACTTTTTTTTTTTTTAATAGTCGCTTGTAAGCTGCAGTACTACTAACACACGGTAGGTGGTGCTATGGAGCAAGGAGTGTCCAAGTGCATCGCAGAGGACAAAGATATATATTTGTTTAATTAGTACTTAAATGCCAGTAAATTCTCAGGCCTCATTTAAGAGCAATTGTCTGGTGTCATTAGCCAGACTCAAAGGGCATTACCCGGCCTAATTATATTCCAGGCCTCATTAAAACTAGACTGCTTGTTCAGAAATAAGGGGGCACATATAGGCTAGTCCTTCACAGCAATGCTTTCATCCCTCTAATAAAACAAATCATGCTCTGAATTAAGTCAGATGAAGAAACAAAGAAAACAAAAGTAAAAAAAAAAAAAAAAAAAAAAAAACTGTGATTACAGCAATCTCTGCATGGCTTCATATTCTGACTAATAGCCCTGGCATGTTATTTTCTCTATGTGTAATTACAGTGCTGAAGGAGGGACAGAGTACAGCACGTCAGAACAGCAACAGTGTTTCTATAACAAGAGCAGAACAAAACAAAGGCACGTCAGTCAAGGGTGTTGCAGAGTTTTTTTGTGTTTTTCTTTTTTTTTTGAATATTACTGAAGCAGATCGAGATCATGCGAGTAACAGGATTAGTCATTTGCTTAGAAGATATATGGCAAAGGGCAAGTTACCTTATATCACCCTAGTCCACCCTTCTTTAAAATATATATATATATATATCATTCCCTCTTCACATTTGGTTTGCTTACAGCAGAGGGAGTAAGACACTGCTGCTGGGAGAACACCCTTAGCTTTAGTGGGCTCAAATCAAAGCCGAGACTTTTACATTCTTCATTGTTATTAAATGTGTGATTTGCATTTAACTTAACTCTTTGCCTGGGGTGATCAAACACGTTTAACACCACATTGCATGCATCATGTAGAAGCAACATGACACATTAAGTATGCATGTTTTTCAAACTGTTTTTTCTTCTTCTTCTGAATGCCAAGTTGCAAGAGCACATCTGTCGGCTGTGTATGTTAATGTCTGTTGAAGTAGGCTTAAAAAGATTCCTGTGCATACTTCTTGATCGTAAACAGATGTCGTCTCTCTCTTACTTTACTGTCAAAAACACTTAATCGGGATACTTTGACACCAAGGGACGACAGTTGCACTGCTGTTTGTGCAACTTGTAAAAGTCTTCAGGTGGATTGCTATAAGCTTTTCTAGGTATGATATATGGCACACCCATTGTAAGTGCATTTAAGTGGCTGATTTAATTGCATGGCAGTGTACTTCTGTCGAAAAGGGAACACAGTCACATTTGGTAAAGCGACACAAAGTGCTTTACATAAGACACATTCAGACAACTTGTAAATGCATCACTCAAAAGACCAAATAAAAGACACAAAATTTAAGATTTTAGAAGATTAAAATCAAAAGGTAGGGATGAGGAAATGAAAGTCTTATGGCCTATTTGAAAGGACTAAGGCATCTCTGTTTTGATTTGACTCTGAGGAAAGCAAGCGGATGTGTCTCTGCTGGTGTAAACAGTCTGGATGGTTCATAAACGAGCAGCAGAACACAGAGTGCTTTATAAACCAGCAGGAGTCGATTGTGTGACACACAGGAGACATCATAAAACATCATCTCCGTCTAAACTACAAAGCCTTTACACCGGCCCCGCCTGTTACGGTTTAATGTCCTACATGACTTGTGGAATGAGACTGGCCCGTAGATATTTATCACTCAGACGCTGATTACAGCTTGGGTTTGAGTTAAGGGGGGGAGGGGGAGGAGGGGAGATAAATGGAGACGGTGAACAGGTGTTTTTTTCCTCAGGGTGTTAACAGGTGTGTGGAGGTATGCAGGTGAATCTCTTTTTCCACTGCATTACTTCACATGCTGTGCCAATCACGTTATACCGAGTGAATACACCTTTCAATTAAATTTAATATCAGAGTGCCAAGAGCGAAATTATCGAACAACAAATAAAATAAAAAGGATTAAAACATTGAATGAGGCTGTACATGTATGGTTTGCTTTTCATTTATTTCAGAGTTAATTCATAAATAAATGTAACGGCAGTGAGTAATTAAAACCAAAAAAATGGCTAAAACTGTCATTTTAAAGACGTCATAAATTATGTTAGAGAAAAAATTAATATTATGTATTATTATATATATATATATCTATATATATATATCTATATATATATATTTGTCCCTCCCGGGGTCAAATGAAGTTTTTGGAATTGAAAGGATGCACTCAAAAAAATGTTCATTATGCAGGCAGGCACATGATGATATAAATACGCAGTTTGAATGGATAACAGAACTACTTAATAATTATTATTGTGTCCAAAATTCCACTTTTACACAAGATCTGGAAAAAATGAAAAGAAGAGAAACAGTGATTATGAATCCTGTCCTTTTACATGATCACTTTTTATGCAAAAGTTTTCAGCATTGCGTAATTACAGATCCTGAAACTACACAGCAACTACAACTACCGTTTGTCAAAGCTCGACACACAAAGACTTAAAAACATGAACACAAAATAAAAAAAAGCTTCTCATATGTTAGATCTTTCCACCACCACCTGCACACGGCTGTGCCCAATCTGAAACACTTTTAACATCTCTGCTTTTCTAATGATTTTTAGCGATATGTCAGTCGTGGTCATTTTAATTAGATAGATAGATACTTTATTGATCCCGAGGGAAATTCAATGCCATTTGTAGCATGCTGTAAATATGAACACAAATGCAATGAGGAAACAAAATGTCTTTGTTCTCAATACGGCGCTTAAGATGATGCATCTGTGTTCTCTTGCTCCTCCTTCTCCTGAGCCTCTTTCTCGTCTTCCTCCTTCTCCTCTGCCACTTTATCCTCATCCTCCTCTTCCTCCTCTTCCCTCTAACTCTTCCTCCAGAATTGTCCTCCACGCTGTTGTGCACACCAAAAAGCAAACCTTACTCCTGTATATTTAAGCAGTGATTTCTGTGTGATCTGATTGGTTACAGGTGTCCTCGTGTGCATCCTGAGTTCTGGTGTTTGTTAACTTTGTGGGCTGTTTTAGTGGCAGTTTAAAAATGAAACAGGCTTCAGTTTTAAATGACAATGTCTTAGTGTAGAGAAGTGTATGTTTGGTATTTTGCACACACATTTTGATCACTTCTCACACAGTAACTTTGAAACAGTGGTCATTTACCTTCATTCTGCCTGTAAATAGATTTTTAATAAGAAGTTGCAGGAGGGTCAGTGTCTGGAGGTCGCATTAAGTCCAGGAGTGAGGGTGTGTTTCATCATCATCAGGACATCCGATCATCCTCCTGAAAAGTGGATGGACCTGCTTGTTAGTGTTGTAGTTTGAACGGTTGAAGCGTAACAGAAAGACACAATCTGGACAGAAACAGGCACAAACCAATAGTTACATAAGTCATAAGATCATGCTCTGATACACGTACGCACATACCCACACACTCTTTCCAGGTAAGAGACCAATTGTCTATCCAAGAAAACTCCTAGGAAATGGTCTTTATATATACACACATGTTGTAATTGCTCAGTGTGATGATTGCCCATAAAAGGATGAGTGGGATGCTTTGAAAGAACTGCTCCAAGAGAAATAAACAGATCCTCGATTCACAATCCATAGTCTGAGTGTCTCATTGTTCAAGAGCACTTACTCTTCTACATAATCACCTGTGTGTGTGTGTGTGTGCATGTGTGTGTGTGTGTGTGAAAAGGAGAGTTTTGAAGTTTCTGAGGATGTGTAAGATCAGAAGAAGAAGCAAATTAAATGGGAACATTTTGACACCGTCTGAGCAGAAGCAGAGAGGATACTTAAAACTCTTTATAACACTTTTTTTCCCACCTTTTTTCCAAACCAATTAATTTAATATTTACTTTTATTTCACAGAGACAACTGTAAATAGATAACTGTCTTTTGTGCAACAATGAAAGGATGTTTAGATTATGATCTCTGACAATGTAGAAAAAACAGTATTTGTACCGCCATTGTGACATTAAAAAAATAATGAAAATCAAAACTGTCTGTCAGTCAAGCGATCATCGTTCCTTCCCATCTGTTGGAGAACAAAAGGTCAAAGAACAAGCTGAGTCACTGGCTTCTTCTTTCATTTCTTTTGCTTCATGATTTGCAGAAGTTTCCATTGACATCTTCTCCTTCTGTTGAACTTTACCTTCTCTTGCGTAAGGTTGAAGCACCTGCGTTTAAAAAAAGAAAGAATCCTCTAATTTACAAGAAACACTCACGCAGAGCTTCTTCCCCTATAATTGACTCTTTTTTTTTTGCCGCCAGAGTTGAAAACAATGTTGACGACACCAGAAAAGACGCTACATTTTACGATGAATTTCTTCTTCCTATCAGCAAAAAACTTCAGTATCTTTTATCAGTGGTGATGCGTGGGCGCCATCCATCATCTCCAGAGGAATGCGCGAACGTTAGCGATGTTGGCATGTATTTAATAACTGCCGATTCCTGTTTTAAAAACCAAACGGACCATCA